AATTTCTGAGGATTAACTGGCTACAAAATCAAATTTAAATCTGTTGTTTTCTGATAATGTATAATACACATGCCTGGATTAAAAATCCTCTGCCCTTTTTTTTTTCATTTTTTGAGTCAGGGTCTTGCTATGTAGTCTAGGAAGCTGGCTTGGAACTCACTATATAGTACAGGTGGCCTCAAACTCACAATACTTTTGCCTCAGCCTCCCCTAATGTGGAGACTACAGGAATTCGCCAACACACCTGGCTCCTTTGTGAGTTGAATGAACCAATGAATACTCAAATAAGGAAAATACGCACAGAAAACTTTCCACATTTAGTATTAGATTTATGGATCTCCTTATATTCTTTTTTTTTTTTTTTTTTTTTATGGTACCAGGGATCAAACTCAGGACCTTGCACTTGCCAGGCAGGCGCTTATGCCACTGAGCTATATCCCCAGCCCCCTGGATCTCCTTATATTCAACCATGGATTTCTTAGTTACAATCTGGATTCACCTTCCCTGCTAACCCTGTTCCTATTTATACACGTCCTCTTCAGACACCTTAGTTGTTTCTGCTGCACACCAGCCCCCATGGGCTACCATCTTCTCATTCTCAACTTAACGTGTGACAGGACACAGACTAATCAAACCTGTACTTCGGACACATACACACAAGACACTCAGAAAAAAACTGGTAGAAAAACAAAGATATTTCAAAAACAATAAACTAATTTGATTTCAATTTTTAAAAATTTTTAATTATCTTTGGAAAAAGATCTCAATCTTCCCCGTGCTCACGTTTCTGAAGCAATACAATTTCTGAAGGACAATGGCTAGTCCTGCCAGCCTAATGGGAAAAAAAAATTAGCTACTCCTGAAGATTTGATCCCTTTCATTTTCTTTGGTAAATATATTTAGGTGCTCAAAATATATTTAGGTGTTCAAAGCAAAGAAAAGTTGGTGTGGTAGTACACATCCATTATCCAAGTATTACGGGAAGCTGAGGTACAAGGATCATAAATTCAAGGCCAACCTGGGCAACTTAAGGAGAACCTATCTCAACATTTAAAAATAAAAAAGCCAGGCATGGTGGCACACACCTGCAATTCCACCACTCAGGAGGCTAAGGCAGGAGGATTGGTGTGAGCTTGAGACCAGCCTAGGCTACAAAGTGAGCTCAAGGCCAGCCTGAACTGCACAGTGAGGCCCTGTCTCAAAAAGACAAAAAAAAAAAAAAAAAAAAAAGATATCTGGGCACTACCCTTAACTTCTTCCTCCCAATTCTCCACATACAGTTATCTTCATGATTCACAAAGATCTCTGCTGTCTACATGAGAAAGTGGCTTGGGGTGGACAGGAAAACTGGGTATGTAACTGGAGACTATGGAGAAAGCTTTAACAGAAATAAAGACAGTGGCGACCTGAATTAAGAGTAATACAGGGGTTTAAAGATGTAGGGGGAAAATGTTGAAAGAAGAACTTATCAAACTTGGAATATAAACATGTGGGATAAAGAGGGAGTTTGAGTATAGTGCTTTTATTTTAGGCTTGAAAACTTAGAAGATGGTGATATGCTCCTTATTAAAAGAATGAAAAAAATAGTTCAAGGAGTATGTGCTTACTGGTTTGGTAGAACCAATAACAATAGTTAACACTTACTGTAACCTGAATAGAGACCCGGTATTTTTCTAAACTTTTTTTTTGTATTGAGGAGGGAACCGAGGGCCTTTGCACTGAACTCCATCCCTACCCACTTTTTTATTTGCTGACAAGATTCTCACTAAGTCACTGAATTGTTCAAGCCACTGTTCCTGCCTCAGCCTCCCAGAGTTCTGGGATTATGGGCATACACCACCGTGCCCAGCTTCTATTCTTATATCCTTTAAAAAAGTAAAATCCTTTGGACTGAGGTACTGGCATTATTATGCCATTTTACCTTCAAGTACACCAAGACAGAGTTGAGAACAAATCTGCCTACAATTGCATCTCTAATTGATCAATGTAACCAGGTTGGAGGACAGTCTGATTTCAAATCTTTGCAGGATCGCAGAGATAGCTCAGTGGCATAGTGTCTGCCTGGCAAGCACAAGGTCCTGAGCTCAATTCCCAGCACTAAAAAAAAAGAACTTTGCAGTTACCCTACATAAACCTCACAGTAATTCTGGAGGATTGATTTTTTTTTTTTCTTTTGTCTTTGATACAGTTTCACTATGCAGTTCAGGCTGGCCTTGAACTCACTTTGTAGGCCAGGCTGGCCTTGAACTTGCTGCAATCCTCCTGCCTCAGCCTCCCCACTGCTGGGATTACAGGTGTGCGCCACCACACCTGGCCTGAGGGTTATTTTTATTTTTATTTTTTATTTTTTTGTCCCTTTGAGAGAGGGTCTCGCCATGCAGTTCAGAATGGCCTTGTGCTCACTTTGTAGCCCAAGCTAGTTTCGAGCTCGCAACGATCCTCCTGCCTTAGCCTCCCAAGTGCTGGGATTACTGGTGTGCACCACCACGCCTGGCAAGGGTTGATATTTTTAGCACTACCTACAGATTTTTAAAAATGTGGCTCAGAGAAATTAACAACTTGTAAAAGTAATATAGCTTGCATGTAGTGGGGCTAGGATTGCAACCCAATTTCCACATTCTTTCATACCTAATTGTAAGCAGAGGCTTATAATTCTTTTATAATCTTTTACAATGTCTAGCCTCAGATTGTTTGTTTAAAGAACATTATTACTATTGATTCTACTAATATCTGAACACAGAAGGTTTAGCTCACATACACCTTTCACAGGAAGTTACTTCAGGGTGTACCACAGCACAGAGGAAACAAACTACACAGAAAGATGTGGGCCCCAGTATAGGAAATCTCACCCAAAAGAACAGTAAAAGAAAGTCCTAAGAATAAAAGCTTTGCTGTGGTCCTAGGAAATAGAGTAGGGCAATGAGCTCTGGAAGAGTGGTTTTTATGAGGAAAATTTTAAAAATCTGAAAATTAGAGATTAATACTGAGATTTGAGAAATTGAGAATATGATGGAGACATGGTAGAAAGTAGAAAATACAGTAAGATATTATTATAATTTTGAGGACTGAACCCAGGGCCTCACACATGCTAGGCAAGCGCTCTACCACCGAACTACATTTCTGTCCCTGCCCCTAGGTTAAAGGATTGAACCTAGGGCCGTGCACAGGCTGATCTGCATCTCCTTTAACTGTATTTTGAGACAGGGTCTCACCACATTGCCCAGGCTGGCCTTGGATGGATTATAGGTGTGCACCACTTTACCCAGCAAAAGATGTTATTTGAACTTGCCTCTAGAACTGCTCTTCAAAACATGTTATGATATCACTCACTGTGTTAGCAAAGTATTACCCTAGCAGCCTGTTTCTATAGTGAATATTCACATAGGAATACTTGAAATGCTTTTTATCAATGATTTCACTAATTCTAAGACTTTATTTTTTCACATTTTAACACCTCTGAATGAGCATCTGACAATCACTGGTGTGTTGTGGTTTAATGAGATTTTTTTTTTTTTTAGTGGTATAGAAATTAATGGTCCATTCTTACAACCAGTATGTCGGACTTGATGAACTGTGTGTGCTAAGCCTTAAATGCTTTATAATTCCCTCCGCCCTGCCGGGAATCGAACTTACCACCTCGCGCTTGCCAGGCAGGCGCTGTGCCGCTGAGCTAAATTCCCAGCCCCTTAAATGCTTTATAATGTTCTCCTTCTCATTCAGTCTTCCTAATAGTTTTACACAGCTGGTGTTATTGCCACCATTTTACAGATAAGGAAACTTAGGCTCAAAGATGCTAGTATCTTCAAGCATAGCTTCATTTCAGTGGTTGAGCCAGAAATGAAAATCAGGCCTGACCTGAAAGGTCCCCTCATATCTTGGCATTTACTTTGGCAACACAAGGTTGAACAAAAACCTACCCTGGTCTACTAGAACTCAAATTAAGGTCCACTCAAATGTCTTGCTGAGGCCTTCCCAACTCCTTCAGGAAGAACCTTGTTTTCCTAAATTTTTGTTTTGGTTGAGACAAGGTCTGTCTAGGTAGTTCAGGCTGTCCTTGAACTTAACAGTGATCCTTCTGCCTCAGCCTCCCGAGTTCTGGGATTACAGGTGTGTGCCACCAAGCTCAGCAAGATCTTAAATACTTCTATTATACCTTATTATGACATGCAATTTCCCTAGGGAATACTGGAAGGAGGAATAGCATCCTAATCATCTTTTTGACCCTACCATGCTCATTACTGCGCCTGGCAAGAGAAGCTTAATCAAAGGAGGCAGCTTCTGTAGTGAAGTGTAAAAGAGAAGACAAAAAAAAGAATGTATAATCTTTAAAAGGTCGAAAGTACAGTTACAGAAGAACTAAGTCAAATATAATGGAGTTTAAAAGAACCAACGGATTCAAAATACAAGGGCAGACAGCTCGGGCAGTTTCCAGGTTTTTGTCCAATACACACAAAATTAGTTTCAACAAACTGAAAGCTTCTATACAGGCTGCAATCAGGCTGCTGAGACATTTTCTCTGAGCAATATCTTTCTGAATTTTAATGTTATCAGTATTTATGCATTTAACACAAACATTAGGATTTGGGGGCTTTCCTGAGAAAAACAGAAAGATCTCGGAAACTGGGTGCTGACATTCTCTAAAGAAATAAGTTAGATGGGGGTATCAAATGTTCTTTCCATATGAATTTAGGACTCTCATCACATCACGCTACCTCCCACTTTTTTTCTTTTTTTGAGACAGGGTTTCACAACGCAGTCCAGGCGGGCTGCCCTCGAACGCCGCCTCCTCCTCCTCCTGCCTCAGCCTCCTGGATGCTGGGATCACAGGTGTGCGCCACCACGCCTGGTTGGCTCCTCCCACCATCCTCTTAGGCCCGGGTGGCATAATCTAATTTACATTCTCCCTCCAGAGGAGGCGTCTGGGTTTGTGACCCCTTCTCTAGCCACACCTCTCGCAGCTCTTTTACACATCACGTATTTCCAGCCATCTGTCTTCCCACCTTGTCTCAAAGTCCTCCGCTTTGTCCAAAAGCTCTCCCGAATCACGGCTTCGGTTCTTCTCATCTCCCGTCGACCGTGTCACTGCAACATTCTGAACGAACCCCTATGGAAGTCCTGAACACACCGCATGTACAAGTTTCTCTCCTTCGTGCGACAGCGACCCACGACTAATTCATCTTCGCATTCTGGAGCCTCAGCCCCGGGGGTCCGGTACACATTTCCGGAAGTCAGTCTACTATATGGCAACACCAACATCGCCAACACAGCGATGGTCCTGGGGTTGAAGCCCAAGAGTCCAAATAACGGGACTGTGGCTCAGAAAAAGCCAGGCGTGGGGAGCCCGCCAGTAAACACCACAGCGCGCAAAGACCGCCGCCACAACCGTCCTTTCCCAGTGGCTTCAAGTTCCAACTCTCGCGAGATTCGGCCGGCGCGCCAGGTTTTTAGCCCGCGAGACTTACGGGTTGGCATCCCCAAATCCGCGGGGCTGCGCGGTTTTCCGTACCGTGCCCTTCCGGTACTGTGTCCCGGAAGCGGAAGTGTCCCTCCTGTCTGTCAAAGTCAGTGTATTACTCTGTGGTCGGTGGTCCCGGCATCCAGGGGAAGTGGTTTACACTTATTTTTTCCTGCCTCTTGAGCGCTTCCCCCCGGGGGGTGGGAGTGCAGAGACGGAGGTGCGAGATGAGCACCATGTTTGCAGACACTCTTCTCATCGTTTTTATCTCCGTGTGCACGGCTCTGCTGGCAGAGGGTGAGGACGGCTGTTTCTTGAAACTTTGATCAGTCTCAGAGAGGAAGGAATTCGCGGTCTCTCGAGCCATAGGGGAAAATCGAGAGCCTTAGTTGCTCAAGGGGTTTGTCTGCTCCAGGAAATCCCTGGGTAACACCTTGTAAAGTGGAGTGGGAGGGTAGTGAGGAATTGATTGCCCAGTTTTTTTTTTTTTTTTTTCTTTTTCTTTCCCTTTTGGTCTTCTTTGAGACAGGGTCTCGCTATGCAGTTCAGGCTGGCCTCGAGCTCACTTTGTAGCCCAGGCTGGCCTCGAGCTCGCAACAGTCCTCCTGCCTCAGCCTCCCGAGTGCTGGGATTACAGGCTGCACCACCATGCCTAGCTTCCAGTTTTCTTTAGTCTACGATGGAGTTCACTGCCATATGTGTGAACCTTTCACATCAGGTTGCAGTTGTTTTGGTTGAATTGTCAATTGTATTTATGTTTGAAAAAGTTAACCTATGTTGAAATCTCTCCTACTGCAACAGTAAGCACTAGTAACAGTTTGCTGTGACCGGTACAATCATTGCTCTATTAGCCTGTGGTTTTTAATGTTTTAGGCATTACCTGGGTCCTGGTTTACAGAACAGACAAGTACAAAAGACTGAAGGCAGAAGTGGAAAAGCAGAGTAAAAAACGTGAGTACAGTAACACTTAGAAATTCTTTTGTCACGCATGGTGGCAAATGCCTGTAATCCCAGCACTTGTGAGACTGAGGCAGGATGATCAGGGCAAGTTCAAGGCCAGCCAGAACTGTATGGTGAAACCCTATCTCAAAAAGAAAAAAAAATACTTTCAACAGGTCAGGTTCATTAAGTCCATGTTCCTAAGAAAATGTGTGGTGTGTGTGTGTATTGGCACTGGGAATTTAACCTAGGGAGTTGGGACCTGCATCCCCATCCTTTTTTATTTTGATAAGTGCTAGACTGGCCTTGAACTTGCATCCTCCTGCCTCAGCCTCCTAAGTAGCTAGATTACATTTACAGAATGTGCCATCATGCCCAGCTGAAGGGAAATATTTTAAGAGAACCAACTAACACAAATACTTGGTAGGAATGAAAAATAATCCAACTTGAAATCTATTTAGGGCCAGGGATATAGCCTGGTGACACAAGCACCTGCCTGGCAAACACAAGGTCCTGAGTTTGATTCCCAGTACCAAAAAAATCTATTTAAAATATTTTTATATAACACTATAAAACTAAAGGGGATAATGGTATATAGCAGGTGGGTACTATGTACTTTGGTAGTTCTAAAGAAGTCTCTAGCTGGGTGTGGTGGCGCACTCCTGCAATCCCAGCACTTGGGAGGCTGAGGCAGGAGGATCCTTGTGAGTTTGAGGCCAGCCTGGGCTACAAAGTGAGCTCAAGGCCAGCCTGAACTGCACAGCGAGACCCTGTCTCAAAAAGACCAAAAAAAAAAAAAAAAAAGAAAAGAAAAGAAAAAATAAAGAAGTCTCTTTCTTTTGTGAGGGACCATGGAAGTCTTCATGACTCAGATGGCCTTGTAGTCCTTTGGGGATAGTTAGAATTTTGATAGAGAATTAGGTGGGAGGAGGGTAGGAAATTCTAGGTACAGGAAATAGCATATGAGCAAGGATATGGTGAAGTGTGTGTGGAGAATGATAGGTTATCATGAGTAGAATCAAGGTAAGTAGTATCTTCAGGGATAAGTCAGGTTTTAAGTAAGGATATTGGGACACTGAAGAAGTGCTTGAAGAAAAGATTAAGAACCAACTAAGTTTATTGTCTTTGGGACAAAGTAGAAATTCAATAGGACACAGCGGACGGTACAACATAAATGGTTCTGTATAGGCATAGTTTGGTTTCCAGAACTTTTTCTTTGATGGATTAAATGCAAGATTTACTTTTGTTTCTTTTTCTTTCTTTCTTTCTTTCTTTCTTTCTTTCTTTCTTTCTTTCTTTCCTTCCTTCCTTCCTTCCTTCCTTCCTTCCTTCCTTCCTTCTTTGGGATTACAGGATGCACCACCACATCCGGCTGCTTCTGTTTCTTACAATACCGTACAACTTTTTTTTCCTTTAGACAGGGTCTTGCTATGTAGTTCAGGTTTGCCTTGAATTCACTGTGTAGCCCAGGTTGACCTAAAACTCACAGCCATGCTCCTTCCTCAGCCTCCTGAGTGCTGAGATTATGGCACGTGCCACCGTTGCCAACCACCTTTCTCTATTTTGTGTCTTTTGCTTGTGTTCTCATAGTGTTTGAGAAAAAAGTTTAATGTTGTTGTTTTTGTTTTTTTTGGTACTGGAAATCAAACTCAGGACCTTGCCAGGCAGGCGCTGTGCCACTGAACGATGTCTCTGGCCTTCTTATAGTGTTTGGCAAAAAAAGAAAAAAACTTTTTTCTCCTTAAATTATCTCATTTGATGGACTGAGGATGTAGTTCAGTGGTAGAGTACTTGCCTGGCATGCCCAAGGCTAGGTCTGATCCTTAGTCTGAAAACAAAAATAAAGACAAAACTCATTTGACCCACATAGTAACCATTTGTGGCTACTTGTAGAAATGATACCTCCACATTATAGGAATGGAGATTGAGACTGAGAAAGTTAATAATATACTACATCACAGAGCAAACAAAGAATTAGAGGCCAAACCCAGGCTTTTGAAATTACAGTTTACCATTCCTTATTCAGTGTTGGTAATACACCTCACCATACTGAAAACCAAACTCATTATCTTTATCTTCACAAACATGATCCTCATCCAGAATTTCCTTACCTTGGCGACCTGTACCTCTGTGCTTATAGTACTGCAAACCAGAAAACTTGATATGCTTTTTTCATTTGGCTTCCAGGCATCATATTGTCTTGATTTCCCTCTCATCTTATTGGCCATTCTTTTGCAGTTTCTTTGGGAATTTTTCTTTTTGACTTCCTGTTGTTGATTATTTGTTGATACAAAATTTAGCATAATCCGGTCATGGTGGCACATGCCTGTAATCCCAGCACTCAGGAGGCTGAGGCAGCAGGATTGCCAAGAGTTCTTGAGGCCCGCCTGGACTACATAGCGAGACCCTGTCTCAAAATAAAAGAAAATTGAGCTTAGCTTTTTTTCCGCCTCTGTGGTGCTTGGGACCCATACCAGGCAAGCCTCATACCACTGAAGTACCTCCTAGGCCCATTTTTTTCTTTTATTCACTCTCTTGATGAACTTGTTTACCTGTGGCTCCCATTATTTATGTCTCTGGCCTTTTCTCCTTAATATGAAATTCATTATTCCAATAACAACCTGTCATCTTAGCATGGTCTAATAAACATCTCAACCCTCCCACAATTGAATATTGTTTTTCACTTCCAAGCCTGCTTTCTTGTTTTGTTTTGTTTTTTTTTGTCTTTTGGGCCAGGGTCTCACTATGCCATTTGGTGAGCTGGCCTTGAGCTCACTTCGTAGCCCAGGCTGGCCTCAAACTTGCAGCGATCCCCTTGCCTCAGCCTCCCGAGTGCTAGGATTGCAGGAATGTACCACCATGCCCAGCCCAAGCCTGCTTTTGATACTGGTCAATGGTACTTCTAGCCTTTGAGTTGCTCAAGCCATAACACTTGTGTAATTATCTTTGACTCCTCTCACAACCCATATCCAGTCGTTGGCAAATACCACAGGGCTGACTTCTAATATCCAGAATATGACCCCTTTTCACTACCTCCACCGTGATCCAAGCACCTTGATTTTTAAAAAGATTTATTTATTTAATTTTTTTTTTCATTTAAAAATGTTTTATTTATTTTGTGGTAATAAGGATTGAACCTGGGGCCTTCACACTGACCTAATCCCTGTTTTTGTTTTAAAATGTTTTATTTTGAGATAGGGTCTTGCTAAATTGCAGCGTTACCCAGGCTGGCCTACAATTTGTGTTTCTCTTACCTTAACTTCTCAGAGTGCTGGGAGTAAAGTATATGTCACCACACCCAGTAATTTTTTTCTTTTTACCTACCTGGAATAGTACCTGTTTCTTCTTTTCTTTTTTCTTTCTTTTTTTTTTTTTTTTTCCTTGGTCCTTTTGAGACAGGGTCTTGCTATGTAGTTCAGGCTGGCCTTGAGCTCACTTTGTAGCTCAGGCTGGTCTCGAACTTGTAATGATCCTCCTGCCTCAGCCTCCCAAATGCTGGTACTACAGATGTGTGCCACCACACCTGCCTCAGGTGTGTGCCAACACGCCTGTTTTTTAGGCATACAGTATACACATTTTATTTTGGTCAGCACTTTATATTTCATTTGCAAGAGTGGAGTCTAATGGAATTTTGTATCTCTTTGATAAAGCACTAAAGCCATATACTGGATATTTGCTTTTAGACTTCAAGCAACAAGTTTAATGTATTAAGAGCAGCCCTACTTGCTAATTCTCTTTAACATAATTTTTAGAAATAATACATGTGTAGTACTGCTTGCTATTAGTATACTAAGGTAATATGGGAAATATAATGTAAATAAGTAAAGGTAATTTTTGACATTTCTAGTCTACTTGCAGGTGATTAAAGACAATAAATATAAGTACAGTGCACTGTTCCTTTTCAGAAGCCCACTGTTACTCTCTTATGTTAATCAAAATGTATCCAGAAAACTGGTCTTAGTTTGTTGGGCGCTCCTGATTTCTGACAGACAGTATGGCTGTCTGTCTGGATACTTTTAAGTGTCATTTAATTATCTGCTCTCACTAGATGGTTCTTTAGAAGGCAAGAATTATATTTTTCTCTTTCTGGAATA